TCCATCATTTTATCCCTTCCTACGTGCCCTATTTCGTTATGGTATTTATATAATACCTTCCATTCCAATCTTCCATTTCTCCCGGTACGTAAAATAGTATCCTATTATCATTCGCTTTTCTGTATACTACACCATTCCTCATTTCAAATAACTTAAGTTCTGTCTTTTCTAACATGGTCTTAAGTTTTTTAATTCTTAGATCTTTTCCTTGACAGATGATTAAATTTTCTTCAAAACTGTTGCTTTCCACTATTAGAATATTGTTATACCTACTGAGGGCATCAACATGCTGCATTTTGTTCCCAGCTCTGTGACATATTTCAAGATCATAATTTTCCATCTCTAATGCCCATCTTGAGATCTTTGGATTAAGTTCTGCTTTATTTAATGTTAACTTAAGGGCGATACAATCTGTTACTAGTTTGACATGTTTTCCTTGCAAATATATCCTAAATCTTCGAAGAGCATATATAACTGCCAAAGTTTCGAGTTCAAAACTATGCAATTTAGCTTCATCTGCGGTGGTACGCTTAGAGAAATAGAATACAGGGTGTAATTTGCCATCGTCTTTCTTTTGTAGAAGCACCGCACCAAACCCTAAAGCACTCGCGTCACAATGTAATTCTATATCATCTTTGTAATTATATAACGCTAATACAGGTGACTCGATAAGCTTTTCTTTTAATTTTAGAAAACAATTCATTTCTTCTTCTCCGAATCGAAATGGTTTGTCTTTTTTCAAAAGATCGTATAATGGCTTTGCCATAGTAGAAAAATCCTTTATGAATCTTCGAAAATATGAAGAAAGTCCCAAGAAACTTTGCACTGCCTGAACCTTTGAGGGAACTGGAAAATTTTTCACAGCTTCGATGCCCTTATCATCTGCCCTAATACCATTTTCAGAGATTAAAAATCCTAAATACTTTATATTTGATTTCAAAAACTCACATTTATCCATACGAAGTTCCAATCTATTCTGAGTAAGCCTTTTAAAAATTTCGTCTAACGTTTCTAAGTGCTCATTAACATTTTTGCTGGCAACCATTATGTCATCCATGTAAACTACTACTTTGTTGGCTCTAATCATATCGTCGAAAATTTTATTAACAAAGCGTTGAAAAACAGCCGGTGCATTTTTTATACCCATCGGCATTCTTAAAAATTCGAATTGTCCTAGTGGAGTTACGAAGGACGTATATTTGACAGATTCTTCATTTACAAAAACATGAAAGTATCCATTTTTTAGGTCTAACTTTGAAAATACTCTTTTGTCAACTAATTTATCTAATAAATCATCTATGTGTGGAAGTGGGTAATTGTCTTTTAGCAGTGCTTTGTTAAGTTTCCTATAATCAATACATAGTCTAATATCACCTGTTTTCTTTTTGACTAAAACTATCGGAGAGGCAAATTCTGATTCGCTTGGTCTTATTATTTCGTTTTTCAAATATTCATCTAATAATTTTTGTAGCTTATCCTTTTCTGTATATGATAATCGTCGAGGACTGCAACTAAAAGGCTTTGCATTCTCTAAACATAATTTAATTTCTGCTCTAATCTTAGGCTTTTCAGGTCTAATTGCTTTCACATAGCTGTTTTCAATTATTCTTAAGAATCGACATTGTATTTGATAAGTTGTGCTTTTGTCCCAGTTAAAATCAATGGTTTCATCGTTTGTAAAGTCAATGTTCAGTATTTCGGTTTTAAAATCGTCGATTTCTAGTTGCATTTTTACATTTACCATCTTTTGTTCCTTTATCATCGTTTCATCTGTATTTTTATTGACTTGTTTTATTTTTGGTTGTTCTATTGATTCACTATCCTGTCTCATAACTGTCTTATCTGTTGTTTCACTGTCTCGTCTCATAACTGTTTGACCTGTTGTTTCACTGTCTCGTCTCATAACTGTTTGACCTGTTGTTTCACTTTTTTGTCGCTTAACTGTTTGACCTGTTGTTTCACTGTTTTGTCGCTTAACTGTTTGACCTGTTGTTTCACTGTTTTGTCGCTTAACTGTTTGACCTATCGTTTCACTATTTTGTCGCTTAACTGTTTGACCTATCGTTTCACTATTTTGTCGCTTAACTGTTTGACCTGTTGTTTCACTACCTTGTATCATAGCCATTTGCCTTATTTTTTCATGGTAATTCTTAACGACTGCGTGCTCTGCCTTTAAACTTTCAGTTGACCATTCTAAAACGTTTTCAGTTATATGATTATCCAAACACTCAATATTATGACTGATCTCAGCAATAGGCAGTGACAGATCTTTAGTAGGCTGCTTTGGGTTATGTTTTGATACATTTTCTACTGTTATCATCTTTAGAGTTTTTAAATCTAAATTCAAATCGCAAGCTTGCATGAAATTTCTACCTAATATTACATCATTAACCATAGACTCATTGGCAACAACCGTTAAATTAAAATAACACTTTATTCTTTTTTTTAGTACAAAACATAAAATTTGTCCGTATATCTTCAATGTGCTTTTGTTTATGCCAAAATAATGTTCGGTGACTTCTTGTAGTTGAAATAGGGCTGCCAGAGTCTAGGATGCATGCTGCAACCATAGGAGATATTATTTGCCAAAATGTCAAAATGAATGTTAAAATACCTTACATAATTATTTTCAGCATTTCCCTTCCTCTCCTCGCATTGGGCTACAAAGTGACCGAATTTGCCACAAGCGTAGCAAGATCCTGGCTCCCTTGCTGGCTTTCGACAATCCTTGGCGATGTGTCCTCTGGCGTTGCAGTTAGCGCAGCGAAGTCCTCCGTTGTTGCTTCGATTTGTAGTCATCACCTTCGAAACAAACTCCTTGGGCTTGCTCAAACGGATACCAGCAAACGCACGCAGAATTTGCATAGGATCTGTGAAACACTGGATCCGGGCTTGATCACGCAAATTCTGTGCTGGTATTCCCTCGACTATCTGGTCAACCAACTCGTCAGGCTCGATGTTGATGCTGCTTGCCAGCATTGTCTTAGCTTCAAAGTATACCGCGAATTTTTCGGTATGGTGCCACTTCAAATTTTCAAATTTGCGCCGAGCTTCTGCTTTGGAAAGTTTATCACTGAATGCTAAGATCAGCTGTTCCAACAGATTCTCTGCTGGCTCCATGATGCGCGTTGCATTTGCGTGCAACCAACGCTGGGCGATTCCCTTCAGTTTGGACACAATCACTATTTTCACGCCCACTGCATCCAGGTTGTACAGATCAGCAATGTTTCGTACTTGCTGAGTCCAAATGTTTGCGCACGATGAACCATCATAGTCCATGATGATTTCTTTGGCCAAAGAAAGTGAAAAGTTTGTCGACTGAAGTCCTTTGTTTACCTCTGCCATTTGTCGCTGCTCAACACCCTTGTTGACATCGATATCAGTGCCAATATCAATATCGGCACTTTTATCGGTATTTGGTATTTTTTCGCCAACTACTTCGTTGACGTTTTCGCCTACTACTGCTTGCATGACTTCTCCGGCTACCACTGCTTGGTTGCAGTTTTTTGCGTTGTTGATGACGTCACTGGCAACTGCTTGTGACGCGTCTCTTATTTGCGCCAGAATGTTCTGGAGCTCTTTTTTTCCAGCCTCAATTTCAGCTCGTATTTGTTGTAGCGACAATACTCCGTCGGCTACATCAAACCACTCGTCTCCCTTTGGCCTTGTAGCCGCTGCAGAAATCAGCTCCGACCTAGGATCGGCATCCTCCACAGAGGAATTCTCCCCCAAGTCGTCATCCAGCGCCAACTCCTGGAGTAGATCATCATTTTCCAACAATGGGGTTTGTGGACGAGTTCCACGAATTCCGGAGTCCACGCTATTCAGCCGTGCTGCAAGTTCTGCTTTGTTGCCGCTGGTTGGCAAGTTCAGCGCCGCCAACCACCTCTTTAGCTGGACGACCGTAAATTGCTGTGCATCAATTAGATCCATTTTATGGGTCAGGACCACTTCTGAAGTTTATAGTAGCACAAACGGGGTTTAATATTAATTACACTTTATTTAGACTTGACCGTTCTCTCTTAGTTCTTATGCGCAATTGCTTTAATTTACATGGCGTCGGTTTTAACATTAGACAACGCGAAGTTGGCTGCGATCAGCACTGATATTTAACATTTCAGAGTTGCCAGATTGGCAACTATATAAAGCTAATTATTCTAAGTACTAACGATTATTAACCATCTAAACGTAATATTTAAATAATAGAGTTATAACACTAAAACATATTCATAACTGTGTATACTCGTACATACTAACATATATAGTCAGTGACTTATCCTACTACATTATAGAATCATAGTGATGTTAAATATTCCTTAGAATCTTGGGAGTTACTAATTGCCATTCCCAATTAAATAAAAAACACTCTTATAAAATTACGTAATGTTTATTATTGCGTTATCGCCAAATTATAAGTCATTGCTGGCTTGTCCTGTTATATTATATGTTATATATTCCCAAGCTTGGCAAAAATGAGAATGTACCAAAAAAAAATCTTGAACTTAGCAAAGCAAGAAAGTGCCTTGCTTTAAGAAAGTATTTAATTTGAAAAGAAATCAGAATAAAACAGAATGACGTTCTGGCTCTGTATGTATATTATCCGATCTGTAATGATAGCTTCAAAAAGTTGTATAAGTTATTCAAAGTATTTAGCTTACACCTTCAATTACTTATTTGATTTGTAATTGATTATTTATTTACCGTCCCAAAAAAAAGGCAGCCCTAAATACAATTTAAAAACTATTAATATACCTGAACTATTAACTGATAGCAAATAAAAAAGTATATTTATAATTTTAAATCATGTATTAATTTATTTAAAATATTAAGGCATCTTCAAAGCATTAAGTTTAAAACAAAACGTGTTTACTTAATTTTAATGGCTATAAATATTATAAGATGGAATACAGATTAGATTTCCATTCCACGTATTTTTTGATTATAAAGGGTATAAATAGTAACCATCAGGACATTACAAATCTTGGAAAATGTATGATGTCCTACAAATTGTTGAGAAAAACGTTGATATAGAAAAACATCAACTCCATTAGAAAAATTACAACGGCCAGCAGTGTGGCAGCTCCACAGATTCGCCAGACCAGCTCTAGATCCCCGATTCCCAGGGGCTTAAGTACCACCAGTTGGCTGTAGTCCTTGATGCTCATCCTGCCGGCCTTAACCATATCGTAGTAGCTCTTTCTGATCCAGTGCTTAATTAATCCAAACTGCTCTGCAATCAATGTGAAGTCTTTTAGGGACACCCAGTAAATCGAGTGCGGAGCGACCACTATACTGGATGGTAGAAAGTCGCAGAAACAGAGATCATTTGCCAGACGGAAAACCGGCTTTGAAAAGAACCGTTGTTGGGTATTTATCACCAGCCATTTGGTGAACGGCATGGTATAAGCCCAACTTGTGTTGAAGTGGTTGCGCAGGTCGTACAATTCGTCGGGATCGTCAATCAAATGAAATATGCCTGCGTATCGCGCCCGGAAAGTGCCTTCAAAGTTGTAGAATTCAGTGCGCATGCCCAGGATACTCAACTCGTTGTCGAGCATGTCATCGAAACTGGTAATCCTTTCCTGATAGGGTGGTGAGATCAGCAGTGACAGTAGCTGGGCATTGCAGGTGGCCATCAGGAGCAGGACCACCAATCGGGGCACTATCCTGGCCATCCTTAAGTTTATCAGCCATCTCCGATGTCTGAGAAGCAGCCAGCCGACCACGATGATGAGGGGTAAAATCACCGCCAGGGCAGGACACAAGATCCTCTCGAAAAGCTTGGCGGTTGGCAGAGGTCGCTCCACCGGCAACATGGTGCACCAGCTGGAGATCAGAACCGGATAGGTGTACTGATTGAGGGCCAAGATATTCCGCTTGGATACGAAAGTGGTGGTCAGGCCGACATCTATACTGCCCTTGGCTGTGTACTCCAGCATAAAGGAGCTTTCCGGCACCGCTATGACCCGCCAGTTGGGACGGATTACCTCCAGGCTGGCGTTGATGCTGTTGGCAAAGGTGGCGATGAAGTCCCACAGGAAGCCGGCCACCTGCTTCTCCCCCTTGGCATCCAGATAGTCAAAGGTGTTCGGTGGCGACAGATCCGGCATGACGCGCAGCCGATGGCCCTGCAGATTCAACAGTTTATTGCTGAAGAGTTCCACTCCCTTCCCGATCCCCCTTTTCACCAGCTCAAACCTGGGAAAAGCCCGGTAAGTGTAGAGGATCAGGGAGTGGTTGTAGTTCCGGAAATACAGCTCCACATTCATCACGCCCGCACGTAGGCAAGTCGACAGGAGTTGGCTGGCCAAGAGATCCTGCCCAGAGCCCACCACTTCGATGAGCAAGCGCACCGTTCGCAGATGGTTAAGGTTATTGGCTAGGCTTTCCAGTTGTGCTACACCATCAGGACCTTCTGGCAAGCAGGCCAGCAGCATGGTTTCGCGATTGAAGCGATCGTTCAGGCCCGAATGGGGAAAACTGCGCTGCCAAACGATCTGTGGATGGGTGGTCAAATTCCAAGGCCAATGACTATTCCAACTGCAGTCGAGTCCAGACGGATTGTAATACACCAGAGTGGTTTCCTCTCTCAGGAGGAACTGCACCAGCAGGCCGTAAAGGTTCACCAGTTCGGCGGCGATGCCAATGCTCGGATCCAACTTGGCCAACATGTCGCTGTCAACGGAATGAACTGACGGGTGAAAGTGGCTTTCGCCGGAAGTGGCAGTGCAACTCGCTATGTACACCAGTCCTTATCCATAGCCATCTCCCCTAATTGCCCGGGGACAACTGCATCGGAGCAATTTCAAAGTTTACACAATGAAGTGGCTCGAGCATTGTGACTCCCAATTAATCGCCTTGGAACCTTGAACATGAGGTTTTTATAGTTAAAGAAAAATATCAAAAATCCCCTTTATATATAATTTATATTTCCAGTTGTTCTGATCGGAAAGATTTAATTTTAATTTTGGAGTTTTAATATTAATCTCCACGTCCGACGGTGCAGACGTGTTAAATTATTTGCCCTGAAGACGGTTGCGGAAGTGCAAGCGAAATATATTGGAAAAAAATAAAAAATAAAATTTAAAAACTTTTCTTTTGAAAATTTTGTTTAATTGTTGACCTCAAGCCGGAAAAACTAAAAAAAAACAATTATCAAAGGTCGCTAACAAACAAAATTTTATTTTAAGACTAACTGCTTACATGGCCCCCACAGCGAACGGATTTTTTGAATTAGCCAACTAATGCGCATGTTAATTATCGGACTATCTGATTAATTAACTATAATTTGTTATCCCAAGATATCGAACATGTACAAACGTCTGCCGTTATTATTAAATCCAAAGCCCTCATAGAGTTTCCGTTTCCTAGATTGATTTGTTAGGTTAAGCTGTATCGGTTAAATAACTAAAATACTAAAGCTGCGTAAAGAAGGAAATCCACGCTTTTCCACCTTTTTGTTTTGCTTTGTCTAACTCGCTTACTTTGACCGAAGTGGACCACTCACCTGTGTCAACTGTTTTGGGCCCACCCCCTGGAAAGGGCCGCCAAAAACTGTCAGAAACAACCAAGACTATTCGAAAAGCACCCACGCAAGTATTTCCAGGCGAAATGTTTTGCGCATTTGGAAGCCGCGTTTTTCAAATACACTTGCGACATTTGACAGCTCGACTGTCAGTGCAATGTGCTCGGTTTGTTGTTGTGTGTGTGTGTGTGTGGGTGTGTGGGTGTATCTGTGTTCCCGCCAGTGTGCGCGTGTGTTGCATGTTGATTTTGTCGAGTTGTTTTATGCACCCCCTCCCCCTCACCATCCCCCACCATCCGTTAATCCCTTCAGCTGCCATTGGCATTCATTCACGTGGCATCGCCATCACCATCGTCAACTCGACCCTGACGCTGGCTGCAGTTGTAAATAAATTTGCATTTTTGTCAATTTTCATGGCGACCACACACCCATTCACACACACACACACACACGCGGGGTGGTGTTAAGGGTGTTGGAACACACACATAGCCACGCATGAATGCCTGCAAAGTATGTAAAGTTTTTTTCGTGGAAGAGCACATTGCGTACAAATCAACTGTCCAGGGTTGGCAACTCCACCGCCAAATGATCAACTGAAAGTCCCGTTTTAAACCCATCGTTTGAAACATATATATTTTGTAGAAATTGTAGAATAATTTGCGTATCAAAATTACATATTTTAATTGACTTAATTAGACCTAGAATTGTAGTAAAAAGTGAAATACTTTACCAACTTTGACGGCGGTGATAAGCTTACCCAGCTCAAGATCAATTGTCTGCTTTGATTTATTTCCATTGGTGCTCATATATTAAAAATATTATAAATATATGTATATATGTAGTTTCAAAATATTATTGCTTACTTTAATGATGGCCAGACTTAGTATTGAAGAGTTTTCAAAATTCATTTAGCTTTTATTATGTTTTGTGGTTTTTAACCGGTAATCCAAATAACCTAACATATATATAGATTTTCAGATTCAAGAATTGCACAACCCAAAGTGTACGTATCCCTATTTTGGCCAGCTTCACCTAAAGTACCACCCCTGCCACCTGATACTACCTTAATCCATCTACCCCTGCCATCAGCCTTCATTTTGAAACCCAAAACAATGCTGCGTTTCTGGTCAGATGCAGCTGGCCCGGGAATGAAAATGGCCATGGAAATGGGAATGGAAATCGACCATGGTCTATAGACGTCGCATAAGGACCTTGATCGTCAGGGGATCGGGGTGAAAGGTGTGTGGTTTCAGGAGGTGTGGGGGAAATTTGTTGTTGAAATAGTCACAAAGTTGCTGACTGCGTTTTTGGTCATCACTTTGTCGTCATTGTGGTAAACCCATTGTTGTTGTAGCTTCTATTATCGCTGGTGTTGTTGTCTGTTGTCTATTGTTTTTGTTTTTATTGTTGTTGTTTTGGATTTTATTATTGTTGTTGTTGCGAGCCTAAACACTATTATCGCAGATTTTCCTCTGTGAATGTTGGATTGCGGTGCTGTTGTATTGGTGAAGGTGTTCGTTGTTCGTTGGTGTTGCCGAAAATTAATTTGCATAATGGACAGACAAACCCAGTCATACACACACACACACACACACATACACAACATTAGCGCAGCTTTGGGGATGTGTGGGCGTGGCAGGGGGCGGGGGGAGGGGGGCAACAACATTGCTGACATATTTCCACGTCGAGGACGAAGAAGAAAGGAAATTCGTTAAATCTGAAATAAAATCAAAAAACAATGCAACTCCCACAACTGCATATTTGCGGACATGTCATTTTGACGCCATTTATTAACTGCGAATGCCGAACAATGTTTGCATTTTGCATTTTTGATTGCGCCTGTCCATCTGTTCGCTCCCCTCGTCCTTTTCCCCGTCTCGTCCTGCAAATCACATTCAGAAGCGCAATTAATGAAAAATGCTTTCGTATTTGTTTAATTCGTTATAAATTATTTAATGTCCTGGCCGGGATTACCATATGGGGTATATTTGACCATTTTTGTTTGGTTTAAGTCTATTAATGATTTACTTTGTAAATCATTGAGGAATACATAATACTTTTAATAAAATTAAATGGATTTTATTATTTGGGATTGCCCAATTAATTTAATTTAATCTTGTTTCTGTTCAATTGTGAAACGAAGTTGTGCACAAATAAACTAATTCGATTATCTTGTTTATGTTCTTAAATATTATTTTCAAAAAAATATTCTATTTATATTGTTTATTATAATCATCAATTGTATTTTCCTCTTACTTTAAGCATCAGAAAAAAATATAACTCAATCTTTTAAGAAAATAAAACAAACTATTATTGAGGTTTAAATTTACATTTGCTCACAATGAATCAAAAATTTACATTTGGTTGGAAGTTGGTTACTTCTTCTGAAAATTGATGAATTGAAAGAGTTTTTTAAGAGTTTTTTAAATTTAAAATCTGCTTCTGTTCAATTAAAGGTGTAATTTCTTATTTTGCCCCACTGTGCGCGGGATGCTGCATTTTTCCTTGGACTTTGGTCATGACGGAAGTCCTAAGAATCTATGTTGCAGCTACTTAAACTTAGTTGGCCAACAGTTTGCAGTGCTTTTCTTTCGCTCTTTCTTTGGTCGCGGCCAGAAACTTTGCGCAGAATGGCGGAATGCAATGACAATGTGATGAGACCCGAAAAGGAAAAGCGCGGAAAATCAAGGGGCTGGAATGAAAAGTGCCACATAAGCATAACAATAAAATCCAATAGAAGTGGCTGGAAGGACGATAATGCGATGGGGCTAGCCGGGCTAGAAGCCATTAGGGCCACCAAAAACGGAAACGGAAACGATTTTCGCTTTAAAAAAAATGGGAAAATCTCAACTTGAAGTTTTTGGGATTATTCAGAAAAAGTTCAGTGGTTCAGGGAGTGTTCGGAATGTCGCACTTTTAATCACAGACAGCTACAAATTGTAGCCTTCGTTGGGTTTTGTCTCGGTTGCGTTGTTAAATGTCATGTTAATTCCCTCGTAATACGCGTGTTCATTATGTTAAACACTTAACATGTGTGTGCTGTGTCGTGCTAGTGTGTGTGTGTGTGTTTGAGTGTGTGGGGGTGGGGGTGGGGGGGTTCATGTGTGTGTTTGCATTATGGTTGTTATACAAGAGAGTTGTTGTCAGCTTCGTCATCGCTGCTCGCTCGCTCGCCTGCCCCCTGAACAATAAATGAAAGTGTAACACACTAATTAGTCTTGTATGCGATTCATAATGATAACAGTAATTAACATGTGTGCCTGTATGTGTGCGTGAGCCTGTGTTGGTGTATTGTGAGTACTAGGCAACAGAAACAACAACAACGCACATATCCCACGTCCTTTTATCAAAGCACCCGCCTCGGATGAACTTTGACTCGCTGCCAAAGCTGCTCTTTTTCCGCGTTTATGCGGTGGCCCAACTCGCGAATTCGCTTTGGCACATTTCGAATTCTTGTAGAAAAATGAGGGAGTGATATATTACAGATTTCTATCTCAAGCCCACTCAAATCTCAATCGTTTTATAATTAATTTGCTTTGTAAATCAGCAATTATATTGATTAATAATTAATAATTGCAAAATGTGCAAAATTAAAACCTTTTTTTTTTAAATTGTGTTATTTTTTTTTATTGTTAACATCAAAGTTTTAGCGTGCGCATTATTCAAATACTTTTATTTTGTTTTTTAAATAAGGAGCCAAAGTATACCTTAGATATAGCGTTCTTTGGCCCTAGTACTTTTATGATACATTTAAATTAATTTAAATTTGTAAAAGCTGTTTTGTCACAGCTCTAGAAATTACTTAAAAGACAAATATTTATAATATCCGTTAACCATAACTACCTATTACTGCTTGCAAATGAAATTTAAGTTAACTAACTATTATTTAACAGTTTCGTGACATTTTTTTCGCAATAATTATCAGCCGCATGTCTGAGTCCTTGCGCTTTTTGCCGCTCCCGCTTCCTGGACTGCAAAAACCAACATCTCATCCCCATCCAGATCCAGATCCACATCCGCACACACAGCTCAGCCAATGCCAATCCCAAACCCCAAGACAAGGTTCGCCGTCCATGCCACCTTAGGCGCTTGTTTATTGCCCAAGTGTTGCCAAGAACCAGAATACCAACACACAGCCACCCACCC